TTAACAAGCACGATATGTCTAAACTAGACTTTTTATGGTCTCCATGTGTCTAGTCATTTCAGAAGACCTAGTCCTCTTTATGAGAAGTTGCAAATGAGCTACACGGTTGTAATTCTCTGACTCAAAACAATACAGGGGATGTAATTCCTTCCAGGAAAGAGTATTTTGCTTGGAAAAGCTTATGGAGTTGATGACACGGTAAGTGTCTTATCAAGAAGAGTTAGTTTGAGAGGGTCGATGGGATCCAAATGCAGATCATCAAATACCGTTGAGAAGCTGTAAGAGTCACCGAATAAAATGCATTTTCTTGAAAGATTTCAATTATTCCCTCCCTCCCATTTTACGTGAAGGGGCTTGATGGTTATGGAATTTAAAAAAAAAAAAAAGAAAAGACTGTTGAAACTTGTGGTTTCAAACATGCCATGAGATATTTGTGGCTATAAAATCATGTCAATAAGGGTAAAATGGGGATTCTGTGATAAAAGTTGTTTCCAAAGAGGTGTCATTCTTTTTGGGACAGACTAAAAAGAAAAGAGTATCACATAAAATAGGATGGAGGGAGTATTATTTTTGTTCTTATTTATCAAAATATACCTGAATGAACAAGTGAAAGCAAACATTAAGTATGAAGACATTAGTGAAGCCTCACTGAATGAATTTGATCCAAGGATGTGGTTTTGCTCTCTGGTCATTTTGGTCTAATATTGGATTTATAGTCAGGACCTCTTACATCTCGTTGCGTGTAGGACTACGTTGTTCCACACTTTGGCTCAAGAGCACGTGGTGATCCTCCTAGCTCAAGGAGGCATCTAATCTTTTTGTACTCTAGGTATGTGTACTGTTTGTATGCGCAGGCTTGAGCACACTGAATTAAAATTCGCCAAGCTTAGACGTTTTTTCAAGACTTGAACTTTTTCCAATTGAATTTGGTCTCATCCTTCTTTGGAAATCTTAAACCTGAGATTAAACCAAAACTTTTCTCATATTGGAGTCACGGTAAAAAACCATCAAATAACAAATTAGTGGAAAGCTAAAACATAAAATAAACTAGAATGTGGAAAGTCATATTCCTGTTGTGTATACTTTTGTATGTCTAACGTAATACTAGAGGAGTTAAGTACGGTAATTCCTGTGGTTAAATTGTTCGGTTGGATTGGAGATTGCGAGGTCCTTAATTGGTACTATAGCCTCTCTACGTTAACTATTCTTTGGGACTGTTTTGTTCAATTTGTGTGTTCAACTGCAACTTAATCACTAGTTCATGTGGTCTTACTTTCTTCTTGTGATGCTACATATCATTGCAGAGGATCTTCCTGTTTTTGCACTTCAAGATGATAGGATAGTTGAAGTAGTAGGGGAGCCTGCAAGTGTACACAAGGCAGTTGAGTTAATTGCTAATCACTTGAGGAAATTTTTGGTTGATCGCAGTATAATCCCAGTATTTGAGATGCAAGTAAGCCTCATTTCAATTAGAAATTTTGAGGACTGTATCTTAGCATCTTTTGATGGATAATGAACTTATTTATTGTTTAGATGCAAATGCCAAATCCACCAGTGGAACACATGCCACCTCCACAGTCTTGGGGTCCTCCTCCCCAAGCTTTCCCCCCAAGCGCTGCTGGAGGTCCGGGATATGGATCTAATCCTCATTTTATGCCACCACCATCAAGGCAACATGATAGTTATTACCCTCCAGCTGACATGCCACCATCGAGGCAACATGATAGTTATTATGCTCCAGTTGACATGCCACCTCCACTGGAGAAACAACCTCATCAGGGAATTTCTGCATATGGAAGAGAAGCTCCAATGTCAATGCATTCATCATCCAACAACACAACCGCACCGTCTCTGATTACTCAGGTATGTTCTGTTACTCTAAGCACACTGAGTCAGTATTTAAAGAGAAATGGGTGGGATTTTGTGTTAATGCACTTTGTTAAGCTTCTTATTGTTGTCTTACATAAGGAGAACAGTTCATTAGTTTTGAAATTAACTACAGCTTCAACTCTGCATGTCCATCTTTCCCACCATTCTGTTGAAAGAAACCAAAAGGCTGGCAGTCATTCACTAAAAGACAGGTGGGAATTACCAAAAAAGGGAAAATTGCTACACACCCTATATGCACTTCAGTAACAGGTATCAAATTGTAGTGGGTGATACCTTGATGCAATCTGGATACCACTATAGTGCAGGTTATTTAGCTAAGCAAGAAATGCATAAATGGTAGGGTAGCTTTTGTAGAATTTTATTCCCAAGCAGTTCTGTTTACCATGGCTAGTCGGACAACTCCTAGCTTTACTTGAGAAGTACTCCCTGCCAGGTTTCTTGGAGTTAGAGGATCAACATATCTAATTTTCTGTGTGACTATGGACATACATTTCTTAATTTTGTAAAAAGAAAATTTGCTTGATTGGAGATTTTGTTAATGTACTTAATACTTATAAATCACAATATTCTATAGTTGAAATATTTTGATTTTTTTTGAGAAAATTGTAGTTGAAGAAACTTGACTTCCAAAATAGTAATAGGTGTTACTATGATGTGATACAGGGAGAATATATTTTAGGACTCATTTTGTAACTTGTGTCGCTTCCAATAATTTTCACTCATTTAGTGACGTGTTGCTTCCAATCTTAATCATTGTTTTTGTCCATTTTTTTCCTGCAAAGACTGCTCAATCAGTTACTTGATCTTATAGGCTTCTTTTTTGTCTGCTCTTGTATCGTTTGATTTCTTGTTTCTCCGAGCTTCTTTTGTGACCTCAGTTGGTACTTCGTTGGTTAAACAAACTTGATTTCCTGATATATCATCATCATGGTTTTCTTTTAGCATTTTTTGAGATGTAAGGGCTTGTAATGGCATTGTTGTTTCCGGTTGGTGCCAATCTGAATCACTGCATTATGCACAAATAGCATATATCCTTGGCCTTACACTGATACTTTATTAAATTGGATACTTAGCTGAGAATTAAGGATTGCCCCTCAGAAATATTTTTAGATTGTAAAAATATTGGCAATTTATATGCAAGACATCCTAAGCAAACCTAATATGGTCACGATGAAGTGCTAGTAAACAAAATGAGAAAAAGAAAGATATTCATGTGCGAGTTTTTGCTTGATCTGAGGGCATAGTTTTGCAGATTACACAGCATATGCAGATCCCATTGTCCTATGCTGATGCTGTGATTGGAACAAATGGTGCGAGCATAAGCTACATCCGGCGGGTTAGTGGTGCTACTGTTACCATACAGGAAACAAGGGGAGTTCCTGGGGAGATGACTGTTGAGATCAGTGGAACTGCTTCTCAAGTCCAAACAGCACAACAATTGGTACAGGTAAAATTCTTGCTTCACTTGTCATAAGATTTAAGCTCTTTTTTTCCTCTGGTATGTGCATATGCATATGAGTTTCTGTTGAGAGGGCGCAAAATGTCAGTCTTTTCTTTTTCCATTTGACTTTTGGTTTAGCCAATATCCGTGCTTCTCATATCCTATCTTGAAATGTATTTGTTTATTCTTCATTTGTGTGTCGTAGAATTTCATGGCAGACGCAGGGGCGCCTCAGGCACAGACAGCTCCACCAGCTGACCAAGGCTACAACTCCTATGGAGCTCCTCCTACTTCTATGTATTCATCTGCCCCTACAAATCCAGGCGTTCCAGGTCAATCAGGGGGCTATGGTTCAGTGTATGGTACCAACTATGGCTATTGAGCTGGACCCTTGTGCATTTCATTTGGTGAACAAAACTAATAATCCTTTCATCAGAGTGCTTTGTACTGTTGTACCTTCATTTAGGCCTAGTGACATGGAACTCCTATAGGTAGAGAGTATTGTATGCATTAGGCTTGTTCCAACGATGTACCTACCAAATGTCTATTTCATTTTTCTCCTGATTTGTCTCTATGTCGCCTTCCTACTCTTTCCACGACTAATATGATCTTTAACACTGAATAATTTCATATTTGCTCGGTTAGCTGCCACAGCGCTCAAGGATGTAAAAATATTATGACTCTACTCGGTGTTTGAGGATGTTTGGCGGTTGCTCTGTTGCAACTAGTATTGCAGCTGCGTAAACACATAGTTGGGATTGTATAAAAGTCGTCCTTACAGAAGTACCTTCTCCCTTGGGGCATTGGGCTAGTCACAGGCGATCATATATCAGTGTTAACAGAAGAAGAGAAAGAATAAGTAATGAGGTGGAGGGTAAAACTAATGAAACATGCTCTGCTTTATGGACTACAGTATTATTTTTTTTCTTTAAAATTTGAAGCAGCCATCAATATTGTAGATGAAAATAGATGAAATATCAAAGAAAGCTCTTTTACATTAATACCATATCTACATCGGATGTAATATAATAAGATCTCATAAACTTTCAATTGAACCCAACAGTATATGGCGTTTGGCATTGATGTTTTTTTTTTTTGGATAATAACTGTAAAATATTACGATTAACAACCAAATAATACACCTAAAATCTACCTTCTAACTTTTCTTAATTTACAGAAAACACGTGGGTTTGATTTTTCAAAAACAAATACCTTTTCTTTTTGGCCGTTCTTGGTGAATATTTTCAAATACGTCTCAAATCCAAACTCGGCAAGTCATGACCTATCCCAAGTCATAAGGCAAGTCCCCAAGGTTTTAGAGTTCAAATCCCTGTTCCCTCGGCTTTTTTTTTTTTTGTTTGGAAGTAGAGTTTGAAACTTATCTCCCCCAAAGAGAGAATAATATCAAGGAAGCACATGTCTACTTGGCCCATTATATTCGATTTTTTCTGATCCCACAGCTCTCACATACTGTTTTTAGATGGTGACCATATGAAATAATGAAGCCTTTCACTCTGCTTGCTAATTTGGCTGGACCAAGCCCCTAGACAGAGATAGCAGAAGGCAATACCCTCCATCGCCATATTCTTCATTCAAGTTGACCCCATTGCATCAACATAAGCAGAGCGCACACAAACATAAAAGCAAACCCATCAAAAAACTGCCCCCAAAAATAAAAAATAAGTATTACGATAAAGGTAAATTTGATAATAAACAAGCTCGTCTTTCGCCAACCTATAATGCAACAGCACCTGTCTTGCTTTCTGCACAATATCAGATTTGTCGCATCTCCACATTTTATTCTATTCATATCCTGAATAAAGCATCACGAAACAGGAGATGACCAGTTCCCAACCTAGGACTCTTGTTTTTCATATTCTGTGAAGAGAAAGAGTACAGAAAGAAAGCCAACAAAAGAAAACCTACATTCAAGCTGATGCTCAAAATTTGAGTTTATTGGGCCGTAATGTAGTGACAAATCAAACCAACAGAAAACCCCAAACCCAAGAAAATCACACGCATTTCTCACTTGTTTGAAGGTGCCTTCTCCTGCTTCCGATCGGGCTTAAGGAACGGATCCTGCAAGTTAACATTTGAATAAAACACATCAAACTAATGGCCTTCTATTCACAGATGAGCAAATAGTTACTTGGTCTAGCAATGGCGATTGGGCATCTCTTTTAATAACTTTTCTCCTATCTCATTATTATACATAGGCCTAATCAAGTAAGACAGCATGGTACTTGTTCTGAAAATAAGGTGAGACACATCATACATCCATAACAAGAAATGTTTTCTACATTTACATGACCTAGGTTTAATTAAGCTCCCAATTTTGCTCATTTAACAGATAAAAAAAGGTAAAAAAAGGCAGCCCGATGCACTAAGCTACCGCTATGCACGGGGTCCAGGGAAGGGCCGGACCACAAGGGTTTATGGCACGCAGCCTTACCCTGCATTTCTGCAAGAGGCTGTTTCCACGGCTCGAACCCGTGACCTCCTGATCACATGGAAGCAACTTTACCAATTACGCCAAGGCGCATTTATCAGATATGAGCTGAAATACTCGAACCAGCTCAAACCAAATCTGAATTCAACAACAACCGATTTAGTTGAGGTGAAAGGATTCAGAAAGAGGCAGAAAAGTAAGATAGGACCATTATTTCATTAGGAGTAAAATTGAAGGGGTTGGGCAGCTCTTTCAGCCCCTTTGAAATAGAATGTATAGAAAAACGCATATGTCGTTCACTTCCCTTACACTTGTATAAAGCAAGTGGAAGCAAAAGTATATTATTAGGAATATACGACTATGATTGTCTCTCTCCTTTACCCACTCCCTCTCACTCGTGGAGTTGGGACCAAATGCAGAGCAAAGCTAGATAATTTGAGTAGCTCATTTATAGCCTCAATCCCAGTCTATGAATTAAAATAAACTCTAAATCCATTCACCTTCCCAGACACCACTGTTTTCTCCACACCGAAGACAAGCTATTAACCAGACGAAAAAGCCATCCCCCTGTAAATTTTCATTTACAGGTTGAAGAGTTTTTAGGGCTCTGCCAGCAGTTCAGCTTATCTGTAGACTTGGCACACAATGAACTATAAATGAGGTTCACCTCCACACCTTTGTGTTGTTAAGTTACATATATTGGATATGGGTGCTTCCCTCAAAGTAAAGTTTAACACACCCAAGCCCTTTTCTTTTCTTGGGGAAATGGGGGGTTGAAGTTGTCGGATCTATTACAATTACAGTTTTATGTGAAATTCGGTCAAACCAAAATTTACCTTTTCCCTTGGGTTGAGATGCAAATTCTTCATTTTGAGGATTATCAAATCGACTATATCGAGAAACCCTAATCTAATCCCGATCTAAAAGAAATGAAAGAGCTTCAACAATCATTCCAAATAACAGAGAGAAGATTAGCATGGCCAGTGGGCAAGGATGACACGACATACACAAATCCAGAAATGGCCTCACAAAGAATAACTAGAACAAACAGGAGAGGGAAAAAAAAATTAAAATATGGAGAGAGCTGAGCATACATTTTGGACGAAGATAAAATTGGCGACGACGATAGTACCGACGATACCGCCGAGAATAGCAGCGGGGCCTGTCAGCAAACTCCATTTCCTGTGTATCATCCTTCTTCCTTCAGCTTCTGCTTCTGCTTCTGCTTTTGCTTCTCTCTCTAGTCGTAAAAAAAACTCCAAAATTGGGGAAAAGAAATACACTGTCCAAGGCGTCCCCAACCAAGTGGGCTTCTCAAATTCTTCTACTATCAGTTTGCCAAGTCAAATTGACTCTAAAAATATTTGATTGGTTGCATAAGAAAAAAAGTATTTATAAATATATTTTATTTGTAACATACCCCTGTTGCCATTTAATATTTTTTTTCTATAACCATGGTGTCCGGGGCTCAGGGTACTTACTACCTCAACACCCTTCTGTCACTAATATGATAGTCAAGTAATTACTACATCCTTCTGTTTTCAGTCTCAATTCATATATCAATATGCTACTGTAAATCATAATTTTGGGCTATGAGGGCTTCTATTTCCTCAATGCAAAACACTTCAATTGATTGGGGTAAATCTAGGGCTGTGCATAATTTGGTAAATACTGAATTACCGTACCGAAATCGAAAATTTTGGTATTTGGTATTCAATATTTTGGCATTCGGTATGGTATTTGGTTTAAGTTTTTAAAAATATGGTATTAGGTATGGTATTTGGTATTTTTAGATGAAATACCGAAATACCGATACCGTACCAAAATATATATATATATATATATATTATATTACAAAAAATACCATATTATTAATTATAACATAAATATAAAAAATCAAAATTTTACTTTCCTTTATTCTCTAATTTCATCAATTAACTCTAAGCAAGTACGAAGACATTTTTCATGATCAAATTTATTTCTTTATGTGCATTTTTCTCTCTCTAGGTTGATATTTGCTTGTTTTGGACAAAACTTTTGTCAACAAACTTTTTTTGTTTTGTACTTTTGAGTACTTTAGGTAAGAATATTATAGTCTATGACTCTATGCACTTGTTAGTATTCAAACCGAATAAACCGAAGTTACCGAACCGAATAAACCGAAAAGAGAAAAACTAAACCATACCGAATTTAGTTCGGTACGGTATTGGTATAGCATTTTAAGAAAACAAATACCGAAAATACCGAACCGAAATGTCTAAATACCGTACCGTACCGACCGACGAACACCCCTAGGTAAATCCCCTTCAGGTTAACTTCTACATTTTTTTTTGGTAACAATGTGAATATTACCATTGACATCATCAAACAATTACACTTATAGAGCACCTAATTATCTGACCACAAACTTTTAGGCCTCCAACAAACAGAAAAAAAACAAACAACTAATTACAAGTAATTTGTCTAACTAAACTTCTACATTTCTGTGCTTTCTTTGACTGCTGAAGTAATTCTATCATTTCTATCCCTTCTTTCTTAATTTGTGTAACCACCTCTACTCTATTTACAGTTCTTCCTTGAAATTTTTTTACGTTCCTAGCTCTCCATGTATGGTATATCACTGCTATATATGCTGCAGCTATCACTTCCTTTTTGAATTGCTTCCAATGCTTCCTTTTGATCTGTTCCAGCATTTGTTTGATTCCTGTAATTTGCACTGCCTGCCCTAGCCACAGATTTAATCTTGCCTTACTGCATTGATCCAGCTACATTTAACAAACAGGTTAACTTCTACATTGTTCCTTTAGTTTCTATACATTTTTTTTTTTTTTTTTGCGTTTTTCATAAACTTTCAAATCAGTGTCAGCAGGATTAAATGCTTGAAAACATGATTAATTGAGAGGAAAACTTATATATAAAGAAATATACTAGAGTGAGAGAACAAGAAGCAACAATGTCCATTCTTAATAAAAAGAAGAAAAAGCCAGAGAAGTTTCATTATACAAGATCAAATTTAAAAGGTACAACAGTTCTATATAAATAGAGTAATTCTATCTGTTATTTGGGACAACCACGAAAGCTAAGTCCAGTATTTTGAGACAGGAAAAATAAATTGAGAATTTTATAACCCAAATGTTTGCTGTTAGTCACAACTTTGCTCAGATGACAGTGGAGGCTGTGGGGCTGTGAGTGCCATTCTGCTCACCGTCAAACTTGTACCCATTTTTTTTAAAGTGGTTGGATGAGCGACTATTTGGGTTAATTTCTTTTTTTTTTTTAACAACTATGATGTTAAAGCACCTTACGTATACCGCCAAACTAATTTATCAAGTACCCGCAACATCCCACCAGAACATATATCGAATAACTTTACCCATCAAGGCTTAGACAGATGTGAAGAATTCACCTAATATTTTTATCTCGGTGACATTTGAACCTTGGCTCCTATTCCATTGTCAACTAGACTACACTCTTAGGTGCGGCATAAAACTGGTAACTTGAACCCTAGTCCAGAATCCAGGTATCGTTTGAAGGCAAAAGATTATGTGCAGCAAAATTAATTTGAAGTTGGACCACACTGGATGACAACCAAGTAAAGATCTCTTAAATTTCATGCAATGCTACGCATCGTCAATCCAAGCATCCTTCCCAATCTATATGAAACCCCAAAAAAGATAATCATCTAAGTGCAGAGGACAAATGCCTCATTTCCTAACAAGAAAACAACATCATCAGAGATTGGTAAATCAGAGCCATTTCAAATTTGTCAATCTGAAACACAGATTAACCAATAAAAAAAAAGGAAAAAGAATGACAAAGCCAAAGAAAATAGACAATCAACTACAAGAAAACAGCAATACTGAGGCAAGGCAATGCCATCAGCTCTAACCAGTCGACCAGCCATAGTCAATACCCTATAAATATACAGAACCAGCAACAATGTGGTGGTTCATAGCTAGTTTCACTGACCCAAAACCCAAAATTTGAAGTTAAATATAATCAACTCAATGAACCTTACCTTAGCTTCATTGAAATCCTATACAAGACGTGATAAGCATTGACCACAATGCTTGTCTACGTGTTCACACAATATTATAACCAACTACAAAAATGGGAACTTCTACTTTTGATACTAGACATGAACACAGCAAAAGAAGGAACTGCTGCACCTGCACTTGGCATCTTTTTAGTAATAAAATACCAGGTTAACAGTCAATTGAGAAGGGGACGGGGGAATGCAAAGACTGTAAATTGTATGTGGCATCCACAACCTAAGAAAACCAGTTTTCATGATATCATTGTTATAATACCAAACCTATCCTCTGTTGCAATGTATTATTAAGACAAATCCAAAAAGGAAAAGCTTACTAGACTAGTAGATGAAAAGTTATCACTATGGACTGAAAGGCTAACTAGAAATATCCTTTGACAGAACATAAGATAAATTCTGCACAGGAAAAGGGTATCACACAGATTTCATTGTCTGCAGAGACAACTCAAATTGGAGCTGCACATGTCGTTCTGAAGTGGCCAGTCTGATTGCAGCGGCTACAATGCACAACCCGCTTCACCCTACCACGGTCTTCTGCTCTAACTCTCTTCTTCCTTGGCCTGCCAGGAGGACGAAGTGACTTGGGTGGGTTTATAACAAGCTCCTCAGCATTTGGATCTCCTTCTGACAACTCCTTCCATAAAGATTTATCTGGAATAGGATGTATAGTTTGGGAATATGTCTTACGATACGTTGCAACAGTAAAGCAACTCTCAGTAAACCGGTGGACATTTTGTCTGCAAGAAAGTAGTGCTGCCACAGCATGTGCACAGGGCAAACCATAGAGTTGCCAGCCCCGACAAAGGCAGCAACGATTCCGAATATCAACAATATTGGTACCCTCATGAGATATCACTTCAAACTCAGCTTCATTAGCACGAAGAACCTGATAAGTCCGGGCACGCTCAAGAGCATCTGCAACTCGCATCTCCGCTGTAGGCACCAGGATTGACGTCCACTGCATGCTGGTCTCTCTTCGTTCATTGAACCAAGTCATAAGCTGCCTCCTGATGCATTCCATCATCTGAATTATTGGAAGTCCAGAGGCCTCTAGAATCCAATTATTCAATTGTTCCACTATGTTAGCAGTCAAATGACCAAACCTTGTGCCCTCAAAATACGCTGTGGCCCACAATCGTGGAGGAATCCGCCGAATCCAATATGCAGCATCCTGTGATATTTCCTCAATCTCGAGAATTTTTGCTTCGAACTCAATTACTGTAAGAGCATGTGCGGCCTCCCACAACAGGTTAACAAGCATTGTATTGTTGAATTCCTTACGGAAGCTTTCACTCAAATGACGCATGCAAAAACCATGGAAAGCCGTGGGAAAATTTGCTTCAACACCATCTACAATGCCCTTCTGCCTGTCAGACAAGATGGTAAGTCTTGGCATGTTTTCTGTATTGACCTCTAGCAAGGTATGAAGTTCAGAGAGAAACCACATCCAGTTATCATCATTTTCCTCATCAACAACACCAAATGCTAGCGGAAAAAGGCCGCCATCTCCATCAAAGCCAGTAGCTAAAAGTAAAGTACCAAGATATTTACTTTTCAAGAATGTCCGGTCAAGCCCAAGAAGAGGTCGACAAGCATTTAGAAAACCAAAAATAGAAGCCTGAAATGATATAAAAAGCCGCTGAAAGCAATTATCAGCAGGATTTGCGTAAACTGATGCTATACTCCCTGGATTGGTCCTTTTAACTTGTTCACAGTACTGAGGAAGAAGGCGATAACCTTCTTCAAAGGAACCGCGCATAGCAGCCATTATTCGTTCCTTTCCACGCCAAGCTTGTTTGTACGACAGGGTGATTCCATGAGTCCGGTGAATTTCTTCAAGGATCTCTTTTGGCTTGCAATTTGGGTTTTCCCGGAGCCGTTGCTCCACAGAGTTGGCCACCCACTGAACTGAGGCTTGCTGATGGCCGAGATGCGCGATTCCTCCACATGTATGGTTGTCATGAATTGTTCTGATAGTGAATGTGGGTACACCTGGAAGTTTGGCAGCATGAATGCGCCAAGGGCAGCCCTCACTGGCACACTTAGCAGTAAAACGAGTTTTATCAGATTTTATGGTCTGAATCTCGAAGTGAAGAGCAATGGCTGTGTCACGTAAAGCCCTTCGGCAGCTTTTGACATCAGGGAATTCTTGTCCCACATGTAGCTCATAATCAGGTGTTGCTGAAATAGTTCGGGCCTGAATGACAGGGCCTGATGAAGCAAGAACCATCTGGCCATCATGGACTTCAAATACATGTTCAGGTTGCTCAACACCCATATCATGGCTCTCAACCAC